TGTCTATGACACCTGTACAGTATTAAGTAGTATGAATACTTGCCCAATATGTATTTAAATATATACATTACTAGATTAAATAATATACTAGTACATTACTAGATTATAGGCAATGTTTTAATAATTTAATATATGTATATGTATATGGTGATTGGTTGATAAACACAATGTGGAATATACAGGCGATTTGCAATCTGATCAATGACGAACACGCTTTCATAGGAAACCCACCGTAATGTTAAGAGATATGTATTAAAAACATACTTTTTCACATATTTCCCGACAATATTTTCGCAAATCTCTTCATACTTTAAATTCCCCAGGCCTTATCTTCCATATTATTGCAAGATCGGCCTAATCGCGTCACAAACGAAGGAAGAGATAGAAAAACAAATGACTTCAAAATTCGCTCAGAATCATCATATAAGCCCTCTCTCTCAGAGAGTGGGCTAACAAGTGGTGACAAATTTTGGGGGCCCGGGCTGACAGGGCCCTTTATAATCAGGCACTGGATAAAGACCTAATGTGATATAAATGCGCTATAGTCTATGTGTTAGAGACACATTATGTTATGTATCAACAAAGCACTTTTGAATCAGGGTAGGAGATCGAGGACCCTATGGATGGGGCCCCTCAGGGTCAGGCCGGGGCCCTGCAGACTGCCGCACAAGAGCGCATAGGCGTTACGCCACTGCATACTGTCTACCTGTTTTGGTATGCCGAAATTAAACAAAGGCAGCTCCAGGTGGCCCTTTGTGCAATATTGGAGGCCATGTTAGGAGGTTAAAAATTTATACAGAAACTAACCGACAAGTTCTGGGAGAAATGGACACATAGCTACTTCCTGACAGTGATCGTGCGTAACAAATGGCATTTGAAGCATCGAAACTTGAAAGTTGGAGATGTGGTGCTGATCCAAGAAGAGAATCTGAGACGTGGCAAGTGGAAAACGGGTGTAGTGACCGACACGCTGTCAGATGACAATGGGCTAGTGAGAAACATAGTAGTCCAAACTGTGACGGAGACTGGGGTTCAAACATCTTTGAAAAGATCTGCTCAAAGACTAGTGTTGTCGGTACCGAGGAAGAAGAACACATGTAACTGCTTAATTGGAGCTGTGAAAAGTGTTCAATTTTGCTTGTATAATTGTGCTAATGAAAACAACCGTAAATATTTGATCTTTTGATTTTAAGTTTACAGTAGTTGAGATGCTTTGGTGGGGGGGGTGTTTCAGTATGCCAAAATTCAAGGGCGTCACCTCTTGTTAGGGCGAAATTTGTTTACAGAGTACACTGTGCAGGAGCCATGATGAGTTTGTATTTCGCTTTCGCAATTCAATCATTTTAAGAGACACTAAAGTGCAAGTACATATTAATATATGGCTATATTGTTTGGTAGAGTAAAGATTATAGAACAAAGTAAGCAAGTTATAAATTAATGTTATCATGAATCACTAGTTTTGGAAGCAAAAAGTTTGACTGTACCAGGCGCTGTGTTGAGTGTCCGTCAGTTAGCATTTAGCGTGTTGTTTGAGTTGGCTCAAATGAACTGTCATAGTTTTACTTTGTTATGAGCATAGTAAGAGATGATAACCAAGCAATTGATTGCTGTGTTATGATAATAAATGAATGACTACTGTTACCTTTAGCTTGTTGTTAATTATTGATCAATAAATAAATGCTCCATAGATAGCTTAGATTTTGTAAACGAATGATTGTGGTACACGGCCGTCGTGCATGTGTGTATTGGAAGTGAATCGCTATGTAGCACCCTCAATATTGAGAGGTGTGAGTGGAGTTTCTTATATACTCTAGGTAGATTGTTAGGGTTTTGTTATGTACGAGATAATCACACAAGTTTAACCATTGCGGTTAAGATGTTGTATAACGTTGTTTAACCAGATGCGGTTAAGATGTAGTGTGGTATTGATAATTTGTTATACACCTACACATAACATGTAATTTTTATGCAGAAAAAATATAAATAATGTAATTATTTGTTGTTTTGTAGATTTTCAAACCTACCGACTATACCGAGCTGAGGTTTGTTTGAGAATTAAAGGTGTAGACTAAAGGCAATTCAAGTTCGTTGTCTGAATTTATTGAGTATTGCGCATAGCGAAACACTACCTAACCTTTAATGTTTTGGGGTTAATAAAGATATCTTAATATTTCTTGAAGGTTTGCAAGGCAAGTATCAATAACAAAAATCATAAAACTTCCTGTACATGTATAATAATATGGGTTTTTGAGGTAAAACCACTACAGTAGTTTGTTGAACAAGATATCAAGTCACTTTCTTTAATTCTATAATTGTTGGTGCCTTGAGCATTGTCTAGTGTGCTGGGGAGAAATATCACGAGGGGATATATGGACAGGCTTAACCACATAGTCAATATGCAGTACGAATAGTGGGCAGTGTGTGCCGTTGGTGGGCTCTACAGTGACAGGGTGGCATTAAAATTTGATAAAATTCGAAAAGATCCTTCTCAACATCTCCACAAGGAGTGATAGAATGCAGTAAGCAAGGTCTCTGACTAACTGTTATCGAGATTCTTTCATTCCTAGAGTAATCCAGAACTTTATTGCAAATCTTCAAAGACAGACTCTCGAATTCTAGAATTATGGATATTAAAGTTTAAATTGTATTAAAAACAAAGAATATTTGTATCATGTCTTTGGGAATGAGAAACATCTTTTCGACCATGTAATTTCCGATGAAAAGGATGAAATAAAGTTTATCTGTATCTGAAGGGCGTACTTCCTGCAAGCTTATACATAGTGGGTGCACTCCATGACTAGCACGGCGATTTCCATAGTAACTTGGGAAGTAACATATTTTTTTTATGAACAGGACTACCATCTCTTGCCCTGTCTACTCTTTGATTATTCGTACGTTTGTATGAATCATAGGAGTTTTCAATGCAGGTTCTTTTTTAGTGAATAATCGCGTATAATCGATTCTAGTTGCTGTTATTAATTGACTGGAACAGTCCTCACAGGGTCACCGAGGAGCAGGTTAACAGCATGACCCCCACCCACCATTTATACTCCTGGGTGAAGAAAGGCAAACATAAGTGTCTTGCCAAAGGACACAAACAAAGCAACAAACGTTGGTCTCAAACTCCCGACCAGAAGTCCAACACCTTATATGCTGCGCCATACGCAAGTGCAGCAACAACAAAAGCATGATGTGAAGAAGGCTTATACTTACTGCTTTTAAGTACAAAAACATGCAGGAATACTGTCCAGCTTCAGGTAAATACGATAAAAATATTGTCACGCATAATATCAAAACAGTCTGATCAGCACCTACTTTCCGCAATGACTAAAATACAAAAAAAAAAACACGATTTTTGATAAATAATTTATAGTTCAGATACTTTGCTGAACTTGATAGCATAAGAGACAATATGCTTCAAATTGAGAATGGTAAAAAAACATTCTTAATGTTTAAAAGGTCAGTCTCATTTTAAAAATGTTATCTTTGAAAAAGAATAATTGTTATTTATGTTAATTACAAGAAACAAATGTTTATTTTATCATGATTTAAGAAATGACAACAGCACTTTTAAGACTATGTATAGAATTCACTGACTCTAGCTTTCGTCCACACAGTCGAATCAAGGGACTGTACTAATGTGATAAGTAGCATATTATAATACAGAGAAATAAAATATAATAATTGGTGCGAGGAATCCTCGATCTAAGTTAAGCCAAAATTCTATACAACTACTACTTGAACTTTGACATTATGTGAAGCCTATTATTACCTCCGCCAAGGAGGTTATGTATCCACTGCAGCTGTCTATCTGTTAGCAAGATTACGCAAAAACTAAAGAATGGATCATCAAATTTAGTGGAATGTTACATAATAATCAAAGAAAGACACCTTTCAAATTTTCAGAAAAGGTCAAAGGATAAGATCAAGGTCACAGAAACTTTTATCCTTGAGCATAAAAGACAATTATGAAATTGCACCTCGCATTCAGGCAGCACTCAAGAAAACAATGTGCCTGAATATGACAGGCAACTCAATTATTTTACTGAGGGTATGCTGCAGTTTTGCACATCATATTTATAGCCTGCATGTTGTTGGTACTGTATTCAGGCACAGGGCGGAAGTACTGTATGCACTCTATGGAGTTCCGCTACTTTGATAATGTTTGCATTTCTTGGTATTGCATGAGAATCTACCATGGCCAATGTTAGTGTGAAGTCTATTTTTAACTAATTGCTAATTGTTGTTTCAGATTAACTACCTGTTTATAAAAACGATATGTTTATCTTTAAAAATATCATTTTTGGGCTTCATCATGTAAAGACAGGTTGTAGATTATCTATAATGCATTTGAGGTGTTAAGTGATGGGTGATATGTTGTTATCAGTGTGCAGTTTACAAGGATTTCTTTTCGCTGTACTGGAGAAGTTTTGTGTGGTATACACTTATCTTTCTGTATCTGTTTGTCAACTATTTGTGTGTCATACTCAAGTTTATTAAATGTTCTCTAAATAAGGTATAAAAAAAGTCTGCATGAAATTGATGGGTCAAATTATTAGTAAAAGTATTACGGCTTTTCTGCATTATGTATGCAATACTACTAAAATACTAAAATATTTTGTCAAATGATAACTTATACAGTACTTTAGATTTATACAAAAAAAAACCCAATATAAAACATTTTTGATCTTGGCACCTGGTTTTTTCAAGGGGGATCAAAAAATGTTTGTTATTATCTTACCATAAATGGATCAGCCTGTTCCCAAGTTATTGCCGAACCCCATAATGCCGGTCGAATCTTTTCCGGTAAAGACTCTGGCACAGCAACCAAGATGAAAAGAACATCACAAAGTGCTATTGCAGTCGCTAAAAAAATTACAAAATTATCACTATATTGGCTTCCAAGGTAGGCTCCCAAGGCAGGACTGGTTATGAGGCTTGCTGCAAATGTAGCTGAGACCTGAAGAGATAAAAAATATGTTGCCCAAAATGATGACGAATCATTGTGATTACATTGAGGTTGGGAAGTCAATGAGATCTCATCCAAAATGTTATGCAAGTCGACTTGGGTGGCAAAATCTAAGAGGAACAATGGCACTCTTATATGACTAACTGCAGATGGATGGATGGACGGATAGAAGAATGAAGAGACAGATAGATATTTAGATAAGTAGGTAGATTGATAATTTGTAATCAATGGATGGATGGATGGATGGATTGATGGAAGGGTGTACAGAAGGATGGGTGAATGCATAGAAGGATGGACAGATAGACGGAAGGTCAAATTATTGAATAAATGTATAGATGGATAGATGGAATGGTGGATGGATGGATGGATGGATGGATGGATGGATGGTAGGATGGAAGGATGGATGGATTGATGGACATATTGTTATTTGACAGATCATTATTATCATTATCTTTATTGTTTGTTATTATTGTTTGTTTTATTATGGCTACATGAAAAAATGTTTTACTTGTTTTGTATGCTTTTTTCCAATTCCTTTTGATTTGATCTCTTTATTTACTATAAGTGTTATGTTTGCATTATTCATTTATTGTAATATTTGTTGCTGGAATTAAAAATGAAGTCGTATTAATTGCTAAAGCTAAACTAAAAAAAAAATAACAAATGGATCGATGAATGGCTGGATTGATGGATGGATGGGAGGGTGGATGGATGGGAGGGTGGATGGATGGGAGGGTGGATGGATGACAGGATGGATAAAAGGGTGGGTAGGTGGATGGATGAACAGATTTATGAATCAATGAATGAATATGGATGGCTTAATGGACTGATGCTTGATGTGACGTAGAGATAAACATACAGCAATGACACTTCATTGACTCAACACCACTGTGTATGATGGTCCACTATGGTCAGGGGACATGTTTATATTTTCACACAAAACAATTGCATGATAAGGAATCAAGATTCAGTACTTTAACTATGAAATGTTAGATTAAATTTTATTAATTTCATAAATTTATTCAATGCATTTACCAAACCATAGGCAGAGCTTCGATCTGCTTCATCAGTGATGTCAGCTACATATGCAAATACTATGGAGAAGGTTACCGCAAACACGCCAGATATGGACAGCACTGCGAAAAACCACCTGCCAATGTAAAGAAAATGTTTGCTAAGTTTCTTTAAATGAGGAAGAAAATATATGACAAAAGTAGAGCATCGACGGCTGATAAAGCAAAAATGGACTGTTCCGTTATTAAAGCCACGCGACTTATTTATTTATTATATTAATTATTCCCATGTCGACAAAAAGTATACAACGGATGAAATTGCTTTGAGAAGTGTCTAGAGCAAGACATGGGCAAGGTTCAATACCATTGCTGGTCCACTCTGATCAATAGCGTACTGTAAACGTACGTAAACACGTGTTTGTTGGACAACACATGCGTTTGTACAGTAGGACATGCGCATATTTCTGGGCCTGTTCTGATTGGTCAGTTGTAAAGTTTGATTGACACTCCAGAAAGATCCATTGACCAATACTGTCATTTACTGTACACCTGTGCCAGTTATTTATCAGGAAATATTAAGGTTTGTTTAAACAAGAAACATAATAACTGTGTCTCTATCTCTACTGTATATCAATGCATCTCATTTCGATAGCTTGATACTGTATTTATTGCTGTTTACAATGCTAGTCATAGACGTTGGATTACCCTAAATGCTCGAATAAGCGCCGCAACATATATGATTTTTGTTTTTTAAGCACCGCTCTAAAATAAGAGCCACGGTGCTTAATCAACAGTATATTATATCACCCTGTGTGTAATGAAATACTTTGAGAAACAGGATTAAATACAATGTATACATTGTTAAAATGAATAGCACAATGAAGGCACATGCATATCTTTAATATTTAGGACCTATGTTTAGGCCTACCAAACTACGGGAATACTGTAAGTGAAACAGTAACAAGAACAGGCATGGAAAGCACCATGCAAATATTTATTTATAAGCGCTGCTCTCGAATAAGCACCGCTCTCGAATAAGCGCCGCACTGAAGCCTCCAAAAACGTTACATGTGCCGTGGCGCTTATTCGAGCATCTACAGCATGGAGGAAATGATAATGATATAACTAATTTCTTTCCTTCATAATAGCAAATATATTACAATATAGACTTATATTTATTGCTGTTTACACTGCTTGTCACTAGCTACTGTGGTTGGTACAGTGGGTTTAATTGAGGAAATTATAATGATAATAACTAATTTCTATCCTTCATTAGCAAATGAATTACAATAATGTAGACTTGATATTTTAAATTGATGTATACATTGCATGCTAGTCATGGCTAGTTGGTTTCAGTGGGTGTAATGGAAGAAATTATACCAAATTTCATTCCTTCATGCAGATATATATTACAATAATGTGGACTTGATATTTATTGCTGTTTACATTGCTAGTCATAGGCTAGTTGGTATAGTGGGTTTAATGGAGAAATTATATAATGTACTAATTTCTTTCCTTCATTTATAGCAATGTACACAATTTATCTGTTTATTCTGCTACAGTAGGCATATTGTAGGCTGGTTGAAAAATGGAGGAAAGAATAATTAATTACTTTCCTTTATGATTAGATAGATTTGCATTAGCAAATTATACACTACTGTATAAGGTGGAAGGTTTGTGATAGCAAAACTGATCAATCCTTTGAATATCATAACTAATCAAAGTGTCACTTATCCATTGTTTTTCAAAAAAATGTTCCTCATTTACATATACAATATGTCTTATGAGATCATACAGTACTCCAAGTATCAAAATGTAGTATTATCCAATACTATTTTTCAATATCATTGTTATTATTATTATTATTATTATTATTATTATTATTATGAATATTATTATTATTATTATTATTATTATCATCATTATCATATTATTATCATTATTATTATTATCATTATCATTATCATTATCATTATCATTATTATTATTAATATTATTATTATTATTATTATCATTATTATTATTATTATTAATATTATTATTATTATTATTATTATTATTATCATCATCATTATCATTATCATTATTATTATTATCATTATTATTATTATTATTATTATTATTATTATTATTATTATTATTATTATAATCAATATTTTTATTATTCTGGAGTGGATATCTGGTAGGTTTGAACACAAATTAGAGGACTAGCTGGTATGAAGCAAGCGCTATAAAGTCTAATACGATACTGTAGTGATGCAGCTGTTGCTTTTTTTTTATATTAAACTATCTAATCAAAATTGCCAATAAAAGGACTTTTTTTTAAATTAAAACTATCTAATCAAAGTTGTCATTAAAAGGATTAAAGAAAATAGATTTATCATAATCATTTATCAAAATACACATTATCATCATCATTGATAAAAAATATCATAATTGTGCTATTCTACTGGCACACGCTATTACCATCTTGGGAAAACACAACAATTATTTTTTTGGCCTTCATACTTTTGAAATTAGCAAATTTAATTAATGTTTTCAAACAATATATTTTTTTTAAATGGGCATATTGATTATTATGGTGATGGGACATGCATACAAGACTAAGAAAAAGATGTTGTAACCTTACCAAGGACTAACTCTCATCAATGGAATGGGTACACAAGTAAAAAATACTGTTAGTAAAAGGAATGATTTGCGTCCCCAGACATCAGATAATGCCCCCAGTAAAGGAGCACTCATGAATGCCAGAATTCCCTAGAAGCAAAGAGAAATATTAAATTATTATTTTCAAATGAAAATATTTCTTGTAATTAATCATGGTCAAATCAAATTCAAGTTGAAATGAAAAAAAGTTAAATAAGTATATGTACCATAGTGTATCTTTCTTTTTGTATTAAAAAAAAACAGTAACTTTTGCCCAGGCTCAGTGTTCTTATTTTTTTGCTGATTTCAGGCTAAAAATGTTTTTATTTTTATACAGACTTTTCAAACATAGAAAATGATTATTGTACTGTGCTGTACATCAGTATATTACTGTACTGTTTTATAGAGGGTACAGTATGACCTAGTCACACCTATTGCAAATACAGATATTGTTTAATTTTTATTTTTTCAACTAAAAACCTTATTTGGCATTTTACCTCTGCCTCAATATGTTCTTAATTTTTAAGCAATTTCAGCCTTAGTGTTCTTATAGAGTGTGTTCTTATAAAAAAATTAAAAAAAACGTATCATACAAAAAACAACCAATTTAATGCACATTAAACAGACAAATAATTCACATGGCACAATTAAGACAAAAGAATTTTGGTACATATTTAAGGATAATTAAATACAGAAGATCAACAATTTCATTCTATAATACATTGTCAATTCTCTGACATTGCCAAAAAATAATTCTAAAATATGATTTTATGGAATTAAGCATGAGGCAACGAGAGAAAGTGGAATCAGTTAATAAAACTCACCATCTACTGAAATTATATTTGAAATGAACTACAATTGGATGGCAACTGTACAGTAAGCTCTGTCTTCACTATCAAATTTTATGTAACAAAAATGTAATATGCCCATATTTGGATGTAATATGCCCATATTTGTGTATACCATGTCCATATTTGGGTGTATAATGCCCATATATGAGAGTAATATGACATCATCATACCCATATGGTCACATCACACAAATTTTCAATATAATTTGATAGTGTGGACTGAGACTTCTTTTAGGTATAAGGCCAAGTCAAAAAAAATTCCTCATCCTAATATTTTAAAAAAAGGAGAATAAGAGTACTTTTTGTTTTACTCCAGAGATACAGTATGGTAAATCCAAAATGGCCAATGGAAAACGACTACAACCTCCTCATTTTTACAAGTAAGACACATTGAAAGCAAATATAGTACAATATTCATTTCATAACCTTACCAATCCTTTAATAAACAATACAATAGTGAATGTAAACTTCTGAGGTACTCTTTAAAAAAATGTCTAGTAAATCTATTTATCTGGGTTAGCAATTATTTTACCCCCAACTAGACCCGGTTTACCTGAAAATTTGAAATTTTACAGCCCAGAATAAAACAGTAATACACAAGAATTCAATACTGAATCTGAAGATATCATCTCATCAATACAAAAAACACTTTCAAAATGGGCTGGTTAATACTGGCTAATAGAATACGAAACAAAATTACATGAATCTGTTTGCTGTCAACATAAAAAGCAATTGTTCGAATATCACTTCCTTTTTGATCAGTGTTTTCAAACAGCAGATGTACAAAGGAAAGTGTTAACAATGGGACAGGTTTATATGCCTAGGTCATAGTTAAACTTAGAGTAGGAACTGTGGTAATAAGCATCTGATCAAGGTCTGCGAAACCAAAATAATTGAATGCATCAAAACCCCTTTTAATACTCTAGCTGACGCTAGCTGAGGCTACAAAAAAAGGCCATTCAAAAACCATATCACTAGCCATTCAACATCATGCACATTCTTGGTACTATCTACTGCAAAAAGCAAACATATGTTTTGTTTCTAGCGAGCAATGCAATTTACAAGATAAGTTTTCCTCAATTCTAAGCAAATATGTATGATTAGAAAAGACAAACCAGTCTCTCGTCGCAAATCCTGTTTCTGAGATAATGGCCGAAACACGCTGGAATGTCAAAAATTTTTTAATCTATTGTATTACACTACACTAACCTTTCTATATCTATATCATACTATGCTGTTATTATCCCCATTTTCCATGTTAAAAGAATAATTGTTAATTATTTGGTGATGGTTTCTGCCTGAGAAATACCTAAAATCATAACTTTGATGGCTGAATTTCAAATATTGTTCTTTAAACAGCTGTCTGTTTAAACTACAGTAACTTTATAATGAAATGTCGGACTAAATATTTTTTTAGAATTTTAAAAGCTCTCATTTTACCGTTTAACCCTGTATTAAACTAAAAATCTATTTTTGCGACGAGTGACTGGTTTGGCTTGTCTTTGCCACATATATGTAAGGGGTAGCATGGACTACTGATAAATAAAATTTAGTTATTCTTATTTAGTAAATGGTTTTGCCAAAAACACCCAGATAAAAGATAAAATAAATTAAAATGTTATTGTTGAATATAAACAGTATAGTATGAGATGGTTAAATGCTTTAAATTTATAGGAAGTAATCTTATTTTAAGGCAGTGGTGGGCATAATAAAAATAAAGAAAAACTTTTTTTTCCTGAAATTTCCATTTTTTCGTGGTGCTCTAATTGGCTAAAAATAAAATTTTATTTTTATATGAAATCATCCATATTGGCTTTCCTTCGTCACTTGTCGTCATGAAATACAATATATATTCATAAAAAAATTAATTAGTTTTGACACAATTAAATACAACACATAGTTATCATAATCATACCAGCCAATTTCATTTTTTTTCAACACAGGATAGATTTTTATGACTAATCGCAGTTAATGCACATCAGTAATTGCATTTTGTACCCACCTTAACACCTTGGATCATACCATTCATAAGAAAAGTCTTCTCAGGGAAGGTACTATGCAAAACCTGAAAGGAGTTATCACAGCATTACTATTTATAAATAAACATGAAAATGAAAATAAACATGGAGGTACTGTACATAGTTAAGACAACAATGCCATTGAAATGATTGTTGGATCTTAAAACACAAACAGAAACTATGGAATAAGCACTAATTAATTCAGCAATCTAGAGCAACTAAAATAATATTATGTATGTAAAAAACAATGAATAATAATAATAATAACAGTTTGATTATATAGCGCTACACTAGTCTCAAAGTGTTTGAAGTGTAGACTAGCTTGTACGTACACATTGCTCTGACAAACACAATCAGATCTATTGCCAATCGATGGATTCTTATCACATTCCTCTCACCAGCACCATTTGATTCATTGGCCCTCCATGGGTACATATTTTTCTGTCCAACACCAGAATCAGAATCTTTGGCCCTCAATAGACTCCCACCACAGTCATCTATCCAAAACAATCAGATTCACTGGCTCTCAATGGATTCCCACCACTCCTCAGTCTGACACCATTAGATTCATTGGCCCTCAATTGACTCCCACCACATTCCTTTGTCCAGTACCCTTAATGGACTACCACCACTCCTCTGTCTGACATCATCAGGTTCATTGGCACTCAACTGATTCCCAACACAATCCTCTGTCCAGCACCATTAGATTCATTGGCACTCAATGGATTCCCAACACAAGCCTCTGTCCAACACCACTAAATTCATTGGCCTTCAATGAACTTGCACCGCAACCCTCTGTCCAACACTATTAGATTCATTGGCCCTCAATGAACTTGTACAACAATCATCTGTCCAACACCATTAGATGCAATATCACTCAATGGACTTGTACCACAATCCTCTGTCCAACACCATTAGATTCATTGGCCCTCAATGAACTTGTACCACAATCCTCTGTCCAACATCATTAGATTCATTGGCCCTCAATGAACTTGTACCACAATCCTCTGTCCAACACCATTAGATTCATTGGCCCTCAATGAACTTGTACCACAATCCTCTTCCCAACACCATCAGATGCAATAGCACTCAATGGACTTGTACTGTACCACATTCTTCTGTTCAACACCATCAGATTCATTGCCCTTCAATGGACTTTACATTACCCTGTCCAAAACCATTAGATTCACTGGACCTCACATTCCTCTGTCTGATAATTCATCAAATTTCATTTAGCCCTAATGGACTCCCACCATATTCCTCTGTCTTATACCATCACAATAATTTTACCTCAGTGGAATATCACTACTGTACATTCCACTCTCTCCAAAAACATCAGCACATGCCACTAGATCCATCTTTTATACTTACTTTAAGCATTGGACTTGTAAGAAGGCCCCATGCGAAAAACTCCAGGAAAATAACTATAAGTGCATGATAGAGACTAGGCTCTCCTATACCCTGTAAGAGTCAAATAATGAATTCATTATATCTTTATAGTACCGAACAACACAAAATAACAAAATCTGACAGTTGGGTGATCATTGGAAGCTGGATGGTTACTGGTAGGAGTTACCTCAATATAGCCAATGCTCTGCTTTTTTATGGTAAACATACAAATTCAGTTAATAATTAATTTGGCATAAGGCCGTCCCATGTCAAAACAACCTATTATTATATTTTTGTGCAGAACGGCTGCATAAAACATCATCCAACCTGAGTTTATGTTGGCTGCAATGTAATTTTCAAAATTTTAATATTTTTCAATATCTTTCCTACCCCAATATTTAAGTGGCTGGATTGATTATTATTTGTGTGGGCTACTAATAAAGTACACAGTAATTAATTTTCCTAATAGCAAATATTCTGAGTTGAAGTGTTTTAGCCGCATATTGTAAGGCAGATTTCAAAAACGTTTTAGTTGCCCTACAGTACATTCTCTATGAATGTGTTACGAACGCAGAAAGAGCCATGGTTAATCTTTTTATTTATCACAAACTAAGGGCATGCTTTATTGTTTAAGTTTCTAAAAAATTGCTGTGAAGTAGAAATATTGCTGAAATGTGGCCTGCTTTCGTTTGAGACACTCCAGGACGCATCATAACAGGAATATTTCAGTAATAATTTACTCACTACAGTAGTTCTCAGATTTTTTAGACTCTGTATGGTCCGACTTAATTTCTAAATAGTAAAAACAGACAACTTCATAAATGCCAATATCGTGATACTAAAAAATGGGAGAATTTTGGCGTAAAGCGCCACCAAGGGCCTTGGCCTGTGTGGCTGGGTGGGGTTTCAGGTGGGGTATCCATAGTGCATGAGGTCTACAGTAGGGGGTGTAACATCCCTGGTACAGTCAGCTATTTAATATGTGAGGTCTCTCCACGAAATGAGACGCATCATTGGTGAAATCATATTGAGATATTCACCGAAACAGGCCAAAGTCAACATTTTTACAAAATTTTGACAAAAAATTTTTAATTTTTATTAAAATAACTTGATACCGATACATTGTAAGTGAATTTTCTTGCAAAAACAGTGTTCTCTGTACATATTCTGTAATTCTAGTTAATATTATTTGTACAGGTTAGTTTATCTTTGAGGTAGATTTTTTCAAAACGTGGTTCTTATACACCTTAACTTTAAATGCTCACATCTCTAGATTAATACTTATAGTAGGGAAATCATTCAAAGACCAAATGAAAGCTTATAATATGATCTACCCAAATATAATATAAACTCAATTTTTTAATTTCTAACCATGAGACTCATTTTGTAGCGAGACCTCACATATATCATAAGCGTATACGTTTATAGTTTTTGCAAATTTCGGATGCCAGTCAATTCGAGCGGATGTCAGTTCGAGCGGATGTCAGTTCGAGCAGATGCCAGTTCGAGCGGATGCATTTAGTGCGAACTATAACAAGGGCGAATTTATCTTCGCCCTATTTTTGTATTTGTTTTAAATGCAAAAAATACTCTGTGCACTAAAGTTCTGAATGTTTTTGGTACTTTTTGATAATTATTCCATGTTTGAATTACAGTCTTGGCAAATCCGACTAAAAGATGGCCGCTAGCAAGCACTTATATTTTAAAACTATAGAATTTCGCACGTAGATTTCATGGCTTTTGTCTCCAGTTAGTTGAATTATATAGTATTGTAACAGTATTTGTAGATTTACGATTTAGGCCTATATTTGTAAATGGGAGTAACTGTAATTGTAATTGTTTATATTCACCATAGAAATTTAAATTATTTTTACGTATGGTATCAGAAGGTTCACACATCATTGGTGTAGTAGTGTGACACAGTGGCGGATCCAGTGTAGGGGCATGGGGAGGCACATGCCCCCCTAGTCTTGCCACTAAATTTTAAAAATATCAATGCATATTAATGTTAATGGTTATGTACTACTCACATATCTATTCTGAAACTGTTGCCCCCACCCCGCCGTTTAAAAAAATTCTGGATCCTCCAGCCCCTGTGACAAGACTAGCACAGTAACAGACATCATACCAATTTCCTCCACTATTCACCATTCGTCTATAGTTCAAAACCCACTTTTTTTTTAAATTAGCATGCGGAAAGAATAACAATGACTAAACATTATTTTTATGAACCCCGTAGGTATGTTTAATTGTAAATTGTTAACCATTATAAATCATTAAATACGACTTTTTTATACATAAGGCTATAGGCTTCTCCCCTAGCACCCACCGGGGCTTTTCCCTTGGCTCCAGTGGCGTATCTAGAAGTCTTGAAATAGGGGTACTGATTCAATATTGGGGGCGCGAAGGTGAAGTAGGGTGGCTTGATGATCAGTTGAGGGATGCTATAACTCGCAATAAAATAAGGTGATTTTTGAAGGGGCGTCCGCCAAACCCCTGGGTCCCCTAGATACGCCAGTGGCTGGCTCCCACGCAAAGCCTGAGCCTCAGCCGAATGCAAGTAATTCGTACATAACTCGCACAGGCTGTTGTTCGCACAAGTGAATCTTTTTTCCGCTCGAACTAGCATACCCTAGCTCGAATAAATTCCGTTCGAACTGGCATTCGCTCAAAGTGGCATCCGCTCGAATTGACTGGTTCCCATCAATCAAATGGCAGTCTCCTGGCCAAAAAATGGGAGTGTTGTCATGTGGGCCTAGTAGTATGCTGCCCTATAATTAAGGCCTAGCCTTCCTAGACTATTTATTAATAATTAAGGCCTAGCCTTCCTAGCCTATTTATTAATAATGTAGGCCTAGGCATAGGGCTTAGTTGCATAGGCTAGGCCTAGGCCTAGCCTATGCAACTTTTTGACAAACCAATTCAGGAATCCAGGAATAGGCCTGGCTAGGCCACTAGGTAATATTATATCCTACTATTTATTAGAGATTCGATATACCGCTATGAACCAGGCTCTATATACATCGACACAAAAGATTAACATATTGCAAAATATGGTAGGCTAGGCTAGGCCCTAGGACCCTAGGCCTAGTTCTATCTAGCGTGAACAGTAACGGCCCATCAACTCACCGTCGACCCAATGTCTTTTGTGACTCGTCGTTTTGGTATAATCTTTTTCCGTTTTTTCGTCATATTTTACAAATAAAACAACACTATGTAACGTTAGGCATACAATAATTAACAGTCAAAAGCATATGTCAACTTTACAATCGGTTTGCTAGTTTCAGAAGAAGAAATCTACACTATTTTCACAAAAACAAAATAGTACTGGATTTCACAACAAAACAGAACAGACGTCGTACTAGCAAACGGAAGTAGACTGTAATAAAACTGACAACCTCTGAACCCGAAAGCGCATTCATGCGTGGAAGATTGGTAGTGGCTATCGGCACTGCCGCAGTGCCGATTTGGCACTGCCGCAGTGCGGAAAAAAAGCTGCTGTTTTCTATCGGCACTGCCGCAGTGCCAAAGAGCTGCTGTTTTCTATCGGCAATGCCACAAGTGCGAAAAGCTGCTGTTCATTAATACAATCGATAATTTTATCGATAGATGACGTTGGTATAATTCATAATTCATAATTTTATTTCACTCAAAACGTAATGAGACTGGTAGGCAAAAAAGAGAACATGTCCCTGTACAAGATGCCTAACC